GAGTCAAAGATTAGACCCAAGAACTTGGCCTCCTTCACAACTTTGATGGGAGTGCCATTTAAAGATAGTTCAGGGTCTTTATGCGGCTTATATTTTCTACAAAAGTGTAGACAATTAGTTTTGGACTTGGAAAATTTAAAGCCGTTTTCAAGACACCATTTATTTATTTTGTTTTAAACACAACTGTAGTTGCCGTTCAATAGTATGCATATTTTTACCGCGACAAGAAATGTTAAAATCATCCACAAAAGTGAGCCATCGATTGAATCATTTAAAACCTTGGATAAACTGTTGATCTTAATACTAAACAATGTTACAGACAAAATACTGCCTTGCGGGACACCTTGATCCTGATTATAATGGTCAGACAGGGTTGAACCCACTCGGACTTGAAATTGCCTGTCTTTTAAAACTGTGATATAAAAAGAGGTAAACGACCCCTTAAACCAAAATCATGTAAATCCTTTAAAATGCCATGCTTCCAGGTGGTATCGTATGCTTTCTCAAGATCAAAGAAAATTGATACTGCATGTTGTTTATTAACTATTGCATTTTTACAAAGGATTCTAATCGTACCAAATGATCAATGGTACTACGATTTTTCCTGAAACCACATTGAATGTTAGTTATAAGGTTATTGGTTTCAAGATACCATGTTAATCTATTATTGACTATTCGTTCCATGGTTTTACAGACACAACTCGTTAAAGAGATTGGTCTGTAATTAGACGGATCAGTATGATCCCGGCCAGGCTTTGGAATAGGAACAACAATGGCATCACGCCACGAAGTTGGGAAATTCCTGAAGTCCATATTTGATCAAAATGTCTAAAAGGATTTCTAAACATGATTCGGGTAAATGCTTCAAGAGCTGATAGTGAATATTATCAGCTCCTGTTGCTGTATCATGAGCTTGCTCAAGGGCAGTATGGAGCTCATGTAACGAAAATAGTTCGTTATAATCTTCACCATTGTCTGAGTTAAAATTTATTCTTTTCTTCTCCTGTTGTTTCTGATACTTTTGAAACTCAGGGACATAATTAGATGAAGATGAATGCTTTGCAAGAGTTTCACCAAGTTTATTTGCAGGGATCACCTAGAAATACAGTTCGTCATTCAGAAGGCGCTGTTTGAATCCCCAAATGAATACACTGTTTTCGTCTCCCCGCCATGATGTTACTGTAATATTGCTATAAAGGACATAAAAGTACACAGTCTCTCATTCTCCTGGCATCTGTCTTTGTTGTTGTTCGTCATGTTCAGATAACAAATAAGTACGCAGTTTACTAGTAAGTTAAAACATTCTTACTTGATACATGACTTAAAATCGTTGCCTGATCAAAGCGTAATGCAATCTGAGACACGCAGTCAAGGGGAGTAACTCATACGGTACTATGCCATGCTATACTCTAACGAGTCCCCAGAGTATGCGCACAGCGAGATCGCAACCCGCCTCAGCCATACACGAACACTGGTATTCTGTTACAGCTATATGGGTCGCTGTTTTCTTTTTCCCTACTTTTCTGTACACGGGGAATGTAAGAAACGACTGTGGTAACTTCAACTTCAGCAGATTTATTGGTTGGAGGCCCAAACGCCTCCAACCATCAGGCTGGATTTTCTCTCAGGTGAAATTCTTCCCTCTCTCTTTATGTTACAGTAGGATAGTGAAATCAGTCATATCATGAAATGACTACACATTTCAGTCATTTCGTGAAATGACTAAGAGGGTCTGCCATTTCGCGTCATTTTGTGTAACAACAATCAATATACTTCAATCATTTCATGAAATTTTATTTCATCTATATGTGGTGGACAGGGATTTGTAAGGTGTGGCTGCTCTGGACACAGCAAGTGTCAAACAAACAGGTGTAAATGCTTTAAAGCCAAGCTGAAGTGCAATAGTCGCTGCCACAATACTTTTAACTGTTGGGAACAATAACTGATGTTGAAATTGTGATCCACTTTTGTAGATTAAGTTATTAAGTGAAATTTCATGAAATGACTTGTTACACAAAATGACCCGAAATGGCTGACCCTCTTAGTCAATTCACGAAATGATTGAACGTTTTAGTCATTTCATGAAATGACTGATTTCACAATCTGACTGTAACATATACACTTAGAATATTCACAATAACTTTCAGCCAACGATAGTTAGTCTCTTTACATTTTGGCAATTCCAAGTGACCAATGAACATAGCTGTAGCAAATTAGGAGCCATGGGATTACGTGGGTAATCCGAAATAATTGTTCCGCTTTAATACTGAAATCTATAAATCTCTAATTTAAACACATTCTGTGTTTTTACTGATTATAAACCTTAATAAACTGGTACACTTTCAATTCAAAAGAGTTTTTCACGTAATAGAGCACACTTATACTAATTCTGGGCATAATTTCGAATTGCAGAATCGGAAAATCCATTCCGTTTTAGAAACACCCATAGTGTTCACACACATGAGTTACATAGTGCTGAAGTATGTTACATTTTTTAGACAGGGAATCCCCTCTCGTCACTGGTCACGTAATTCTAAATGACGCCGCTGAACTGCGAGAGATCGACTAAGATGTTTGATGGCTTGTAAATATTAAACACTGGATGTTTTTATAACGAAAACAGGGGGCACTTGTAGGTATAAGTACAAAGAAGTCATTCATAGAAGTTTTTTTTCGTGCACAATAACCGTAACGCGTGCGCGAAAGTGCGACAAAGGGTTTTCTCCATTGCGGCCTACAGAGGTTGTTTATAGCGATCGAGTATGTGAGCGCTTTGTATCTCAGTAAGACATGGCTAGACATGACAAAGGCACTTGATATGAAATATCATATACTAGAGATGAGCGTACCGAACTTGCGATGCGAGTGCCGATCTCTAATAGAGGCAACTCTCTAATGGACGGAGTTATTGTTATCGTGATGCTCTTGAAATCAGCTTCAACTCCTCAAATCATCTCACGTCCGTCTTACTAAATTTCTAAATTAATTCAGGTGCCTTCAACGTTGCCTTTTAAAAGGCCTTTCTTGTTATCCCTACATGTGAGATACCTATTTTACTTCGCCAATCGGTGAAACCATCTTTAACCTTCAGGTTGTAATGGACACAAACAAGAACCATGTGTATGTCTGTCACCTAAAGTATTTCTACAACCTGGTATGAATTGTACAGATACTCCATCCGGGATACCGTGGTCAGACTCGCTGACTTGGTCGATACAAGTCATTGTTTCCTGACTGCGTAGATCGATGCTCATAATACAAATCACTGCATTGTCTGGTCCGCCATCATATGGCTGGAAGATTGCTGAGTGGAGTGTCAAACAACAAACAGTTCTGCCAGTGAGACAACGTATATGTAATAAGTCACTACCTGTAAGTATATTTAATAGGAACACACATTGTCCCGTAAATGAATACATGACACGTTTTATGAATGACAACTTCTTTTTATTCTTTGTACGAAGTCAATGAGATAAACGGTATGACAATGTGTATGATTATAGAATACCGGAGTTTACACTGGGAAGGTAAATACCCTGGTCTCGGTTAATGGCTGGCTTCTTTCTTAGATGCTTTTTAATATTTCAGGTCCACAGTACGCCGTTACATGTATAGAGCACATGGAACATTTCAGGAACTTGAGTTACAGCGTACTGATTGAAAATGATACTGACTCGGCGTATTCTGCTCATTCTGCCATTACAACAAACAAATTACTATCAGACTATAAGTTCTACATTCTGCCATTACAACAATCTACTTACTATCAAGCTACCTGTTCGCTCCTATCCCTATTACAACAAACTCCTTACTATCGATCTTAGAAGAATATATTACTGGGGAGAAACATAATCCTTTGGTAAACCTGTTCTCCCGCCAGAATGTTCCTGTTCACTCCTTCATAATGACTAACACTTGAAAGAGTAGGAAGCATATTGATACTACTACTACTAATAATAATACTAATGATAATGATGATACATTTCTATAACGCCTAATAGCCATCAGTAAGATTCTCTGTGTACAAAGTTAAAAACATATTGTAACAACAGAAACTAGAAAAGATAGTCAGTTTTTTATGATTGAAGAAAAGGATATGTCTTCAGAGCTGATTTGAAGTTTGTTGTTGCCATTGGTGGCCTGAGAGATCGGGGAAGAATGTTTCAGAGGTGTGAGCTGCGAACGAGAAAAATCTGTCACACATGTTTGTTTTGCTGAGTGGAGCAAATAGGAGGAACTAGTACATAGAACGAAGAGATCGGTAGGGCTTGCAAATGGTAATTAGATCTTTGAGATAGATAGATAGATAGATAGATAGATAGATAGATTTGTTGATCCACTCAGGATTGCACACTCACGTATGCTTGATGGTTACAGCTGATCCAAGAAGCTATTCACCGCTGTCTCTATCATGTGCAATGCTGCCCTGATGCTCATCCCTGATGACACACGATACTCTATGTACATGCGGAAGGTCTGTTGAATAAAGAAGATGATTGTAATGAAAAGGAAGCTGTACCTACATGCATATGTTTTGGTTAGTTGTTGTGTAATGTCTTTTTAAATTTCAGTCTAACTCTGTTTAGCCCCCCAATAAATATTTGTAAATGGTTGCTCTAGAAAGCATTTTCTGCTATATTTTCCTGAAAAAGTGTTTTTCCAACTTTTCATAAAAATATATTTTCATAGGGAAGTTACTGAAATTGAAATGATAAATTTAGTGTTCTCACAACTATTTTATAACACATTTAAGCAATTACAAAATAGCTCTTTCAGGAAAAGCTCTAAAATTGCATGTACAAGCTGATTTACTTCTTATCAAAATGAAATATCAACAACTACCTATACATTTTCTTGGGGGCGTGTGGGGGGTTAACAGAAGTCAGTATACAATATATATGTGTATAGAAAATATTGTAGCCTAGTCTTGTTATATCGGCTGAAGCCAATTGTTATGTTTATGTAACAGATATAACGCCGAGAAACAACGACTTGCTGTAGGGTGTGAATCTGTTTATTCCTTACATCACAGGAAGAGGTAGAAGAAGAATACCCTGTAAACATTTCATTTATATATATTAATATCACAATGGTTTGGGGGTTTTTTATCACAAGGGTATTAGCACAGATTCATTTGTAACATTGATTAAGAGAAGGGAGACAACTGAATCACATATAAATCATGATCACATTGAGCAATATGCACATCACATTCAACAAAATAAATACATTGGTAACAAATATTTTTCCTTTTCAGTTAGTTCACAAGTATGACCATACTGAGTGTGAAATATGAACTTATGCATACTGGTTACATTTTCCAGAGGAAAATGAAATAGTTACACGTTTACATTATATTCAAAATTGGCTCACCCGTCTATAAGACGAAGCTACTCCTAGACATCTATCTGGTCGGTCCGTGACATGTGCCTAGATGCTAAAGCAATAAAGGGAAAACAATATTTGATGCAATTCCGAGCGACGTCTTCCTACATCGGCTAGTGGATTACAGAAGGATCACTAGGTGAATATTGTGTTATTTCCGCTGTGTGATCTTTGACATTTTACGGACACTTCTCTTATCCAGGTCTACGGGCGGGCACTGAGTACTCTTTAGTACTCAGTGGACCTTTAGTGGTCACCCCCCACTTGCTCCTTCATCACAATGGCCTTGGCTGCGGCGCCAGTTTTGACACCCGTTCATCGGATGTACAGAGACGAGTCAAGTCATGCATGCACCATCAAGGCGGAGTGCAAGGTGAGACCATTCACGAGAGAACTGTTGTTTGATGCTATTGTTGCTACATTTCAAAATATTTCTGGAAAGGATGTTATTTCCATCTGGAATACCAATCAATGGGGAGCATTTTATGTTACCTTTAAGGACAAAAAGAGGGCAAAACTTTTGATTGAGGCCGGGAGAATCTATTACAAGGGAATAGACATCCTTATTACCTCGTATGAAAAAAAGATTCATGAAATAAAAATCCACTGGTTGCATGATGATGTAAAAGAATCCTTCATTAGAAACTTTTTGAAAGGATATGGTGAGATATTGGATATCACCAGAGACACTGTGACACTTTCTGGAAAGGCAACGGTTAGGACTGGAGTGAGAACTGTTTGCATGGTCCTGAATCAAGGTGTGATTGATGATGTTCCTCACATAGTGAGATTAGGAGATGGAATGACCATGTTGCTTGCCATTTTGGGAAGATCTCCCATGTGTCTTCGATGTGGCTTTAAAGGTCACATGAGGAACAATTGTCAGGCACAGCCATACGAGTTCTTTAACCATGTAACGCAGCGGAGTATCAGAGAGGAGAAAAAGAGGAGGTCTGAAGGAGACAATGTGTCAGAGGAGGTGAGTGAGAATGGTGAAGGTGTAGGTGAAGGTGATGACTTAGAGAATATTTGGCACAAGGAAAATGAACCAGTATGTAATGATGACGTGCAAGCAGGTAGATGAGGAAATGGAGAAGGTAGATGAGGAAAGGGAGAAGGAGAAAGAAGGTGAGAATGTGAACGTGGCTGAATCAAAGCCCAGTACCTCTTCTACAGTGGATGTGATTGCAGCAGTAGCTGAAAAGGGGCGGTGGGGTAGCCTAGTGGTTCAAGCGTTGGCTCGTCACGCGGAAGACCCGGGTTCGATTCCCCACATGGGCACAATGTGTTAAGCCCATTTCTGGTGTCCCCCGCCGTGATATTGCTGGAATATTGCTGAAAGCGGCGTGAAACTAAACTCAGTCAGTCAGTAGCTGCAAGTCTTTCTGATTCTGATTCGCAGTGCCTTAAAGAAATTCATAACCTTATAGATACGAGTGACGATGCTTTTACTGTGCCTACAGAGACTGCTAAGAGAAAGAGTAGGTCCAAAAGTAGGGAAAAAGGTAGGGGAAAGACGAGGCGAGAGTTGAGTAACAGTCCATGTACTCCAAGGCAGACCAGAGACAGTAGGTCCACTGGTAAATCTTACTCCGATGTGGTGTGTGACTCAGGAAGGGGTCAGAGTTGAGAGTGATCCTGTCTTCTTGATAATAACCTAAGCAATGCCCATCGACTATGAGACAGAAGAATGGATGTAACACAGATGCAGAAAACATATCCTCAAAAGAGGAGGTATATTACATTATTTCTGTTATGTACAATTGTTTCATGCATATCATATAAAATGTATAATGTAACAACAATCAACTGTAATGGTTTGCTGGTTGATTCGTCAAAAATTAATATTTTATCACACAAATTTAATTCCAGCGTTGATGTTCTATTTCTACAAGAGACCCATGTATATAATTTAAACGTAGCAAAGTTTTCTGAATCAAAATTTAATGGGAAGGGATTCTGGGCTTTTGGATCTAATTTTAGCAGAGGGGTGGGAATAATAGTAAATAATTGTGTTAATTATGCTGTTGATCAGTTTCGTTTAGACGTTGATGGTCGATATATCATATTAGATTTAACAATACAAGGGAAAAAATACGTTTTATCAACGTTTATGCGCCAAATATTCCAGCTGATAGAGTGACGTTTTACAATTCATTAAGTAAATATTTAGTTACCAATAGATATTTAGTAATAGTGGGAGATTTTAACTGTGTCCTTAATGTTAAATTAGATAAAACTGGTGGAAATCAAGATGCTGATCAAGCAGGAAGTAGTATTATAAAAAAATGGGTCTCTGATTTTTCTACATCTGACACATTTCGTTCTTCTTTTCCAGACTTGGTGGCGGTATCTTGGCGAAATTCTACTGGTGTTGGTTCCCGACTTGATAGATTCTAGTCGGTAGTAACATCTTCCCTCCTGTCCGCTGTCGAATCTACGACAATCTCCCCATGCTCATTCTCAGACCATGAATATGTGACGGTAAGAATTAAAGATTTTGAAGGCATAGATTTTGGTAACTCTTATTGGAAATGTAATAATAATATTTTTGATGAATCTTTTAAAATTTTGTTTGGTGGATTTTGTAAAACACATACCTTCTTTGGATAAAATTGATTTAATATGGTGGGACAATTTTAAAATCAAAATTCAAAAAATTTCTAAATTTGATACAAATTACAAGAAAATCTGACCGTCAGTCCCTCCGTAAAAAAATGGAAGCAAAGTATCGTAATCTTTGTCACGCAGAATCTTGTCATCCTGGACTTTACATTGATCAAATCCGTGAAACAAAAAAACAAGTCAATGATTTGGAAATATTGGAATTTAATGGACATATTATTCGATCAAAAGCTAAAAACATTGAAACTAGTGAAAAGCTTTCTATTTGCGCAAGGAAGCCAAGAGAGGTAAAAATAAATCGATTTCTTCAATATTAGACCCTTCTGGCGTTTCAGTAAAATCCTCTCAAGATATCATGGGTGTTTTTGTTGATTACTATTCTGAACTTTTGGCTGAAGAACCCATTGATGATAAAATTTGTAATGAATTTCTTACTGGTCTTCCTCAACTCAATTCGGCTAATTCGGATCTACTAGAAGGTGAAATAACAAAAGATGAAATTATAAAAAACCCTTAAGGATATGGAGAATGATAAATCTCCAGGTCCAGATGGCCTTACCAAGGAGTTCTATTTGTTTAATTTTGACTTTCTTGGTGATGTCTTACTACGTATTGTCCAATTGTGTTTTTCTGAGGGTTCTTTACCCGAATCTTCTAAAACTTCCTATATTACTCTGCTGTGTAAGGATGTTAACAATTCAGAAAATGTTAAAAATTGGCGTCCGATTTCATTATTAAATGTGAATGCAAAATTGATATCAAAAACGTTGGTGATATAGTTCATCTTGATCAGTCTTGCGCTATATCAGGTCGGTCTATTCAGGATAATTGTCATTTAATACGCAATGTGCATGATCATGTGGAACAGAAAAATATTCCATGTGCTTTAATCAGTTTAGATCAAGAAAAGGCATTTGATAGGGTCTCCCACGAGTATTTATTTAAAGTACTGGACGCTTTTGGCTTAGGTCCAAATTTCAAAAAGTGGGTCAAAATATTATATACTGACATTTCCAGCTGTGTAATTGTAAATCAGCACATTTCTCGGCCAATTCCGGTAACGAGGTCAGTCAGGCAAGGATGTGGTTTGTCGCCAGCCTTGTATGTTTTATGGCTGGAACCTCTTTTACAAAACATTCGTAAAAATCAAATTATTAAAGGTGTACACCTTCCAGATACTAATGATTCAGCAAAAATATCTGCATATGCTGATGATGGTATTGGGTTTTGTACTTCAGATGCTTCAATTCAGAAACTTTTAGAACTTTGCAGTATTTATGGGAAAGCATCTGGGTCAAAATTGAATAAATCCAAAACTAAAGGAATTTTTATTGGGAAATGGAAAAACAAGTCCGACCATCCTTTTGGCATTTCGTGGATTGACCAGGCAAAAATTGTAGGAATTATTACAGGCAATGAGGTCAGTGAAGATGATCAATTTCATTCTTTACTTACAAAATTTCGTACAGGTTTAAATTTCAGTAAAGGACGCTCCTTATCTATATTTGGTAAAACTGTACTGTGCAATGTTTTGGGGTTATCCAAACTGTGGTACCGTGGAGCAGTAACACCAGTTTCAAATCATTATGTAGATCTCTTTCAGAGGGAGACATTTCGATTTATTTGGCAGTCCAAAGCTGAACCCATTAGGCGCTCCGTTTTGTATCAACATATTTTGGGAGGGGGGCTTGGTGTTATTCACATCAAATCAAAATTGCAATCATTTCAACTAAAACATGTCCAAAACCTATTGAAAGGTAGTTCAGCAAAATGGACGTTTTTTGCAAAATATTGGATAGGGTTATCTTTACGTCAGTGCTGTCCTTCTTTTCTATCTCTCCGTATCCCTCTCTCTGAGACGATGCCATTATATTATAAACAATGTATTCAGGCCGTTAAATTATTTGAAAAAACCGTTTTGACTCCTAAAGATGCCATTTTGGACTATACTTCTAAAGCATTTTATGAGTGTTTGCTTCAAAAAGTAACTGAAAACAGAGTGGAACGTTTATACCCACAAATCAACTTTAGACTTGTTTGGAAAAAATTACATCTTTCATTTGTGGATCCTTTACTAAAATCTGTTAATTACCGTCTCATCTATGATTCTTTACCTTTAGGCTATAGGCTCTACACTAGAGGTATGTCTGTTTCTCCTGACTGTGTCCTTTGTCGGGTTGAAACTTCAGACCATCTTTTTATTCACTGTCCCTGTTCTATTGTCCTGTGGAATATCGTTTTTCCATGGTTGCGGTACTTATCATCAGGATTAATTAAAAAATGTCACGAAATTATTAAATTTGGGGTTATTCCAAAAAATCCAAATCATCAAAAATATTCTGTTTGTGTATATTTATTATCCTTGGTAAAATATTCTATTTGGACTATTAGAAATTTAA